ATCTGCGCCAGGTTCAATCCCATTCGATTGAGAGTTTGATAAAAAAGGAGTTGCAAAGTCGTCGATAGTCGCCTCATCTCCGTCGTACAACTGTCACACACCCATATTCAGGCATTCGATCCGATCCTCTTTGCGAGTGGGACCTCGGCCCAGGTCTCGGGACCCTACATCCTATAGTCCGTATGCGTGGCAACTCGAATGTCAATCGTATGTCCTTTTTTATTTTTTTTTATTTTTTTTAATGTCAGTTGTATGTGTCCACGGCCGACATAACATATTTGTCTAGCGTTTAGGATAAGTACACAGAGCATTTTGTGATGCTATACAGAGCATTTTGAGCAAGTTTTGCCGTCTGTTAACAATTAAGGGAAAACTGCATTTGTACCCGACTTAAAGATGGGAATGCTGGCTATACCCAGTCCCAGCGATACTATACATAGCATTTTGAGCAAGTTTTGCTGTCTGTTAACAATTAAGGGAAAATTGCATTTGTACCCTACGTAAAGAAGGGAATACCGGCTATATACCCCAGTCCCCAGTCCCAGCGGCAACTTGCGGCTATACCCAGAAAACGGCTACGGGTAGTGGAAATCGTTTGCATGCCCAGGACCGAGGCGGACCTCGGATTGGTACCGCAAAATTGCAGTTATACCCCCAGCTACCGGAATGCAGAAATTATGGACATACCCAGGCAAAATTATGGGCATACCCGGGACCTGAGGAGGAGGGGACAAATTGCTCATTTACCCTCCTACCGGCCTGGCCTAACACCCGGTCATTATAGCGGCCCGTACCTTGTGCAAATTTAAGTCCAAGTACAGCCTCAATGACCGGCCGTTCTATTCGGGTGAAGACGGTAGTTTCGGGAGTGCGGGGGGGAGGGGGGGGAGCCATGTGCGGGATGATCTTTGTAAGGAGAAGTGGTAAGCAGTTGAGCTGTGCCCGTATCTTGTGCAACTTTTAGTCCAAGTACAGCCTCCATGACCGGGCGTTCTATTTGGGTGAAGAAGGTAGTTTCGGGGGGCGGGGACACGTGGCAACACTGGACGGACACGTGGCCACTCTTGGATGGCTGGTGTTGGAATCCGAATGACCTATCAGTCAAGTGCATGTAGTAGTTTCGAGGTTTTTTTTTTTTTTTTTTTTTTTTTTTTTTTTTTTTTTTTGTTTTTGTTGTTGAAAGGACGTGGTCATGTGCGAAAGCGACGGGTCTGTCGAATGTTACGGATCCTTTCTGGGCCTTTCTCCGTTTTATTTCATTCGGCATGGCATTTGAGCGTTTTTGTGGATTAGGTTCATTGGGACGAGTTGAACATTTCGAACATACGGGGTTCTAGAAAGTGTCCAGATGCACGACGACTGTTTTGTGCATCGGAGCGAGGTCGGGCAGTGACAGAAGCAACGGGTATTGCAGGCGGCAGCATGCGCAAGTGCAAGGATGTGCGGGGGAAGACCGTGGAAGTGCTTGCCGCCCAGCTGCGAGCTCCTTCAGCTTTACGTTTCCCCGCGAGCGAAGGCTGCTTCAGCTTGAGGATGTGGCCTTCACGCGCGGAAAGAGCGCGGGAAGAGCGTGCAGGCGGGGAAGTAAGAAGGGTTTCCTTGTCTCTGCTGCTGTGGTCACACTTAGTTGTTCTTGCGTGCACATGAGGGGCGTTTCTGCTCCTGAGAGCGGCGCTTCTTTCCCTTATGCAGCCTGACGGCTTTGACTGTCTTTTTTTTTTTCTTTTTTTTTTTTTGGCCCTGGATGTAATCCTGGCGAAGAGCCCTGATCGAACAGAAGTGGTAGGAAGAGGACGAGAGATATTACATGCCTTTTCGGACAGGGAGGGGGCGTTTTTCACGCTCTTCTGGCGCTTGCATTCCCTGCTTTATGCGTATCACTTGTCCCTACGTGGCAGGCGGATTAGCTCTCACTCACAGCATGGTTGTGCACGGCACCTCCTTTTCTCCGAGGGTTCCTTATAGTTGATTGTTGCTCTCTGCTTTTTTTTTCTGTTTTTTTCTCAAAGAGAGATGTGCAAAGTCGCTGAACTTCCATGCTGTTGAGATTTTGTGTTAATGGCTAACCACCCTCGAACTGTTTAAGAGACCCATCTGAGTTCGAATCCTGATTAGAATCAAATGAGTTAAAACAAAAAAAACAACAAAAAAAAAAGAATTCAGCGTCTGGTCCGTTCAATGCTGAGTTGGGATTAAGAACCATGAGTTAAAACCAAAAAAAAGGAAAAAAGGACCCATCTGAGTTGGGATTAAGAACCATGCTGAATTAACTGGGGTTGGCCAGTTCAATGATTATACCTTAAGGCCGTCTGCCCCTCTTTTGAGGGGAGACGGGGTGCGGGGGGGAGAAGAAGAAGGGGGAGAAAGGAGAATGGGGAGAAAGGAGGGGGGGCAACTCTGAATTAACTGGGGTTGTCCAGTTCAATGATGGATACTTCAAGGCCGTGCGTCGCCCTTTTGAGGGGAGACTAGGTGCGGGGGGGAGAGGAGGTGGGGGACGCTAGGAGGTAGGATAGTGGGATAGGGGGTGCGTATTGACGTGAGGATGGGACGGGAGGTGGTCTCATATTCCTGGACACCCGTGGCTCACAGCTCCAAGTGATCACTGTGCGCTCAGTGACTGGCCTCTACAACACCTTGGACTTGAAAAAAAAAAAAAAAACTAGGKGCGGGGGGGAGATGAGATGGGGGAGGGAGGAGAAGGGGGAGAGAGGTGGGGGGCCTACTCTGAATTAGCTGGGGTTGGCCCGTTCAATGATGCCACCTCAAGGGCCATTGACAGCCCATGTGGGTGAACGGTACACACAGGTAACTTGCAATCGACAGATCATCGGCTCAAGTCCTGATAGAGACAGCCGAGGAATGTAAGGTGAGGAGCTGAACCCCTTCGTCAACCTGAAAACAGTGAAAAGGGAAAAAAAATGAAGGAAGATGAGATGACGTGCATTCTGGACCGTAGAAAATGGAGCTCTGAATAGTGTACGATAACAGGGGTGAGGACCCACTAGGCAAGGGGACTGGATTTAGTAACTGAATCTGGATGTATTTTATGCAGAGATGCAGAAAAGCAGATCAGTCGATTTTTTGGCGCAACTTGCCGCGATCGTATCCAGATTCAGGCGTTAAATCGGATCCTTGGTGGGGTCAGTGGGGGCAAGCAAATCTATTCCCTATGACAAAAGGAATGGAGCGAGTTTTTATTTTATTTAATAAGGGAAAAAAGAAAAATGTTGGGAAAAACCGTGCATGGTCTAGGCACTCTTTTGGGGCGTACCCACACTCGGACTTTGTTGACTGAATGTAGTCCTGTTTGCCATCAGGTACGTCGAATGTTGTTTTCTCAGATGATAACAAAGCGGGGAATGGGTGTGTAACGTGTGGGACCGGACGAGCGTCCGGTCCGGTCCGCTTTGCTGTGTGCGGCACCCTTCCCCAGGACCGGACGGACCTGGACCGGACCGGACCGGAGGGGGCCGTTTTTTTTTTTGGGGGGGGGGAGGCGTAACTGGTCGTCGGGCGCACATTCGTGCGCTGCGAGCGTCCGGTCTGGCGGTCTGCCGCACGTGCGGAACCGCCCGGACGGCGTCCGCTTGCAAGTATGGAATCTACCAAACAGTATTGGAAAAATCCCAAACAGTCTAGATAGTCAATTTAGCGTGATAGTCAAAGCGTTTAGCGCTGTTTGATGAGCCCGGATAGTATTAGGTACTCTTTTGGGGCATACCTGCACTCAGACTTTGTTGACTGAATGTAGTCCTGTTTGTCATCAGGTACGTTCAGGAAAGTGCAAACTTGAGTTTGGCCTCTTATACGTTTGTAGAGTGAGGCTCGACCTGTCTTTTTTTTCTTTTTTCAAGGGAAAAAGGAAACGGACGAGATTCGCTCGAACTTTAATGCAGTTCCAGCAACCACTCGAATTGTGAACCAAATGCATGCAGTTCTGTTTTCCCTTTGTTTGTTTGTGTTTTTTCTTTTCTTTTCTTTTATTTATTGTAAAGCACAGCCTGGCGTGCAGAGACCCTGTTATAAACTTCCGGTCCTCCCCCCCCTCCCCTGTTGATAAACCTCCGGTGCTTCAGACGTGCAAACGGTATGCGTACGTGGATTGGACGGGTACGTGAGCATAAAGCAGATAGCGGTGTAGATGCATAAATTTGTAGGTAGCTAGATGGAGGTAGATAGAATAGGGCGAGAAAAAGGAAAAGAGGGAGGTGGAGAACGGAAGAGCCACATCATGTTTTGGTTTTCCTTCTCTGTAGCTCGGGGGTGGAGAACGGAAGAGCCACATCTTTCCCTTCTCTGTAACTCGGTCTTGCTCTCTGCTCCTTGCCCTCGCTCTCCCTGTCCCCTCTCTCTTGCTCTCTCCTTCTCTCACTCTCACTTTCGCCGTCCTCCCAGCGGGGGACAGAAAGGGAAGATGTCCCTCCCCTCTTCTAGGATGGTTGCCCGAGCGACTAAGTGTGGAATACTCTGCCGTCTATACTCTTGTTCGATCAAGATGTCCTGCCATGTGACTCTCTTTTGTACCCCCCCCCCCCCCCCCCCCCCCCCCCCCCCCCACACACACACAAAAAAAAAAAAAAAAAAAAGAAATCCCCAGCTTCTACCCTCCACCTGCGGCCCGTGGTTCGTCTGCGTGCGCCGATGAATCTCCCTCGCGGTTGTTGTAATGAAATCGAATGGTTCTTGTCAGACGGCAACGTGCAAAAATGGTCGGTAGCCGAGTGCAGAACATGGTTGCAGGCGTGGTGGTCCCGGGTGGCTTCCACCTCTCTGCACATTTCATCGTAGTACTCTTTTTGCACGCAAATGCATCAGTGAAATTCAAGGGAACTGCACTCTTATGAAGGAAATGGACAGGAGCGTGGCGCTGTCTAACTTGCTTCTTGCTTTTGTTCTGCTGCTTCTAGTGTCTCCGTTCTCTCCTTCTCTGTCTGCGCTTCTCGGCGTTGTTATCTCTCTGACTTGTCTGACTGGACTTTGCATTTGTTGTCCGGCAGGTCGGTTGGGATGATCCTGAGCTGCTCCAGGGGGTTGGAAAGGTGAGCCCATGGCAAGTGGAGTTGGTGACAACGGTCCCAATGCCGCTGCCATCCTTTACGGCGGGCGGTCCAAAGAAGAAGCTTCGGACGGGCCCGGGACCAGGAGGAGGTAGTTGCATGGAGAACGGGCAAAGTTTTATGCAGCTCGCTGGATCTGGGATTGCAGGATCGTCCACCACGAGCACACCGACGTCGCCTTCCCTCTCAGATCTTCAGCGAACGTCATCGGCTATCACTGTCGCAAGCAGTGATAGTCGCCGGCTCTCCCTGCCTTCCGCCGAAGAGTATTACTCGCCGCCTCGATCAACGGGTGCAGGGCTTGTTCCACTGCTGGCGGGCCCCGACAGCCTGATTCCTGTCAATGTATCCCCGCCGCAGCTTCAGCCACGACAACAATCGCAGCAGCCAATCCTTTTGTTTGGCACGGTGATCGACAACGTGTCTGGGCTGCAGAGTCCTCACGGCGGCGTTGTGAACACTCGGCTGATCGAGTTTCCACCTCTTGCGAAGACGGGAACCAGACAGCAGCTGGATTTGAGTGCAGCCAGCGATCTCTTCCCGATCTTGAAGTACATCAATCAGCAGCAGCACAGCGATATCAGCAGGGTTGGTACAGAGTGGACGTTTGATTCGAGAGCGGGAAGTGACTCCGTGCGGATGAGTTCAACGTTCCAAGTCGGAACGACGGCGCAGGGAAGCATGATGGGATCGGGATTCCATCATGGTTCTGACGGTAGTTGGGGTCGGGACAGCTGGCGGAAAGGGTCGATGATGGGCTGGGACACGCCGGCAATCGAAGAGCATTTATTCTGCAAGATCTTCAGAGGTGGAGAGCTTGTTGGGCGCGCGGTGGACCTCGGCAAGTTCTCAAATTATGACCAGTTATGCGCCGAGCTTTCTGTAATGTATGGGATTGATCGACATGAGCTTCAGAAGAACATGGCATACAGAGACAGCGAGGGTCACTGGGTGCTTGTCGGCGACGAACCGTACAGGTATGTGTGTTGCAATCCGATTCGATTTCTATCTATGGGTGATCATTCCTACCTTCTTCCCCCGAATGCAACGTACGGTCATTATAGCTGTATTTGAGGCATCTTTCTGTCTAGATACGGCCATAATGACCGTACGTTGTATTCGGGGGAAGAATGTAGCTCTTCCCTCTTGTGTGCATTTGGTTCTTCACACCTTGTGTTCTTTATGCATTTCAGAACAAAGTGTCATCGTGAATACCAGTTTTTTTTTCATGACTCTCTTCTCTGGGATGTTTTTCTCTGCCCGTGGTCAGCTCATACTGATGAATTTTCTGTGGGGGATAGCTCTGTGGCTCCTCCTCCTGACCCGACGAACCTCCCACCAACTCTTCCCGTCCGGGCATATGGTGTGGCAAAACGTAGTTATAGGCCACCTCAAAACATTCAGGACCGGGCGTGGGTGGAATCTGGCTGCAGTGAGGGCCAGGTTCACGCTTCAGAACATGAACACAGACTAGGGGCATCTGAAGAACTTCTCCTTTTTGGTCTGAAGAGCTCCGACACTGGGCATGCCCTAGCCCTCCCACACCTTACCTCAACCTGTGCTCGGTGCTGTGAGTGCTATTTTCCTTGTGTGAATTCTGGATCCAGCTCTCTGTAATCCAGGAGGCGTAGCAGGAACTGCTATTACGAGTCCCTGTAGCTGGTGACTAACATCGCACCTGGATTGGATCATTAAAGGTGCTGAATCTGATCGCAAAGGCCTCCTTGGAAAAGCACGTGTGTGTGTGTGTGTGTGTGTGTGTGTGTGTGTGTGTGCGTGCGTCCCTGCCTGTGTGTGTGTGCGTCCATGCCTGTGTGTGTGTGTGTGTGCGCGCTCAATTTGCACGTTTGGTGAGTGTGCGCTCAATTTGCACGTTTGGTGAGTGTGTGTGTGTGTGTGTGTGCGTGTGTCTGTGCCTCTGTGTGTGTGCGCGTCCGTGCCTCTGTGTGTGTGTGTGTGTGTCTGTGCCTCTGTGTGTGTGCGTCCGTGCCGTTGCGTGTGTGTGGGTGCGTGCGTGTGTGGGTGTGTGCATGTGTGCATTTGTGTGTGTGTGTGTGTGTGTGTGTGTGTGTGTTGCCATTCAGTCCTCTTCGGGGGTCTCTTGGCGCTTGAGCTATTGAAGTTGTCGGGAAATCCGAGTATATTTTTGTGAATGCTCTCTCGATCATTAGTAGGTGACAATCTATGTATGTTTAATGGAGGCTATATGAGCTATGCTAGCCCCAACCGGTGCTATGTTCACGCTTGCAAAGCATGTACACAGCTGTAATAGTGGCCAGGTTCATACTTCTCCTCGCACATAGCAACGGAAATATAAGTGTGTGTAACGGAGGCTATGTGAGCTATGCTATGTGAGGGTCAGCCCCAACCGGTGTTAATGTTCACGGTTGGGAATCGTGTACATGGCTGTAACAGTGGCCAGGTTCATACTTCTTCTTGCATGAACCTAGCACCGGAAGGTCCAGACCCTAAGCGTCTTTCCGGCGGTGCCATAAAGGACCTCAGAACGACCTCAAAATTCGGGCCTCTTTTGGCGAGGTGGAAAGTAACTTCACGCCAGGCTTTGCTCAAGTGTCAGCGTGGTGTGTTTTTTTTTCCCTTTTGGTTGGCTGGCAGTAGTTCGCTGCCGCTGCGGTTCATCCGAAGAACCGGAATGTTGCATCTCGATTCCTAAGGTTACCTGGGAAAGGTAGTTGCAGTTTGAGGGTCGCATGTGACCATGCTAGGGTTCACTGCACCTAGCCAGGTGTTCTTGCGATATCCGGCTCTCTTGTTGTGCTTTTTGCTGTGCGTTTCCAATTCCCATGGAAGATGTCGACTCCACCGTCTTCAGCCAAATAGAACGCCCGGTCATTTCAGCTGGATTCAGGGCGACTTTCCGTCTAGATATGTGGATGTTATGACTCAGCGTTCTATTTGGGTGAAGATGGTAGTTGGGTGCATATGACATATAAGGGCGCAGTAGAGTTGCGTTGTGGAGTCGACAAAGGCTATTCGACCTGCATGTGCTGCAGCAAGCGACCCTTTTTTTTTTGTCATCCTTTGTATGTCTCTCCCAGGTCGACTGTTTTGCTCTGGGATAGGGGTTGGGTGATGTATGAAACTGGGCCTTGCTCCACTACTCGCCGCGTGCATAAAGTACGAAAAAAAATGCTGATGTATCTTTCCATGTTCTAGCGGAAGATTCGTTCTCAATTTGCACATTTTGGGAGTAGTGGCATGAGGGTGGTGTGTCTTTCCATGCTCTAGCGGGAGATTTACGCTCAATTTGCGTTTGGTGAGTAGTGGAGCGAGGTCCAACGTCTGACTCGTTATACAACTCTGCTTGTTCGGCATTGTGTTGTCCGGATGATATCGTCGGTGATTGGCGATGTTGATCAGGCACTTTGCGGGGACGGCAAGGAAGGCGATGATAATGTCGACAGGTGGTGACCATCCGGCTGTTCTAATGGAAGCCGGGCTTGCACGATAGGGATACACAGACACTCGTGGTGCGACATATATATATATATTCAATTTAGTTTCTTCTCTGCGAGAAGGGAAGATAGCACGACTGGATCTTGTTATTGCAGTTCTCTCTACCATATCTTGTTCGCGGGGCAAACTTGAAAGGTTTGGTAGGAGGACAACACTGCGGCAGGCAGGTCACATTTTGGCGAGGACAACAGTTTGTAGGCGCGGTTCTAGAACGGCGATGGGTGTCCTCATCCCTAATGTGCATATGGGCATTCACTCTTTTAAATGGTGAAAGGCGATTGCCAAGTTGAGTTCACATGTGGGAAGGCCGAATCCGCAGGAGGACTGCGAAGCTTTGGAGGTGGGCAGTTGCATGTCTAAGTGCGTACCTTGCTGGTGTGGTTGCTGCAAGAGGAAGAGGAGGAAAGTAATGAGCTGCGGGAGTACATCTTTCTGATGGTGTTATCTCGCGCATTGGAGGGTGCTCTGCGTCTGAATCTGGCCAATCGATCCCTGGTTACTCTCAACGCCTTTGCTTAGAAAGGGTGTCGGGAAACGCTGAATGATGGCCTTCGTCAACTGTCAGCTTGTGGTTCGTAACACTTCGTGTCACCGTGAGCTTGTGGGCCGTCGTCGTTTCAAATGAGAGAGGGCAATCTTGGATGGGCTGGCAGCGGATGGAATGTGTCTCTATTCGTTTGAGTCTCCTTCTGTAGCAGGACATGTTAAGGATGTGACGATCGGACACAAGAATGCTCAGTGCTGACGGGTACGCTGTACCGTAGGCAAATAAGCAGGGAAGGAAATCTGAAAGGCAAGAAACTCGATGGCCTGGCCGCCTTGAGATTGAGTGTGTGGGTCGGCGGCCGGATGCCGCATGCAATCAGGGGCAGATTGTCCGCTAGTGATCGACGTGGAGATCAGCGGATCGTTTCGCTCGTCTGTTTCCGGCTACGGTGTCTGTGGAGCGGCCCTTCTAGCGTGCCTGCAATTCGTTGTTCGATGAGGTGACTTGGGACTCGCAAAGCACATGGGAAAGGACAGACCGACAAGTAGAAACTAAATGCGAAGGACTGCAGCGGGTATATAGCGGTTATCGAGTGGTTTACCCTCTGGATACGCTTAGTTCAATTGAAACTGATACCAATCGACTGATGGGGTGGAAGTTACTTTTACCGGACCGGATTGGTACCAATCGACGGACCTTTCGCCAACAGAGGAGGATCAGGGAACCAGTTTGGTTTAGGTAGGAACGGATGAACTGGGTTCTGATGGACGTGTAACTTAACCAGCCGGGTACGGATCGAAGAAGTTGGTGGAGGGTATCGGTACGGAAGCAGGTTGTAGTTGGACGTATTTGGTTCCAATCTTCGGATGCAAAATGAACTCGTACCTGAGCTACCTGGGGTGCAGTCTCTGAAGTTGTATAGAAGCAAGGAAGAAGCCATGGGCTGAGCTGTGCAGTGCATTAATCAGCTGATGAATGTCGGAGTAGATGAGTAGCGTTGTTGTGCAAGATGGTAGTGCAGGGTGCCTATTTGAGCAGCAGCTTGGAGGTAGCGATCTTCACGCGTACAGGCCACATGCGACTGTAGCATATGCGAAACTTCCTCGAAGGGAACATGATGCAGCGGAGGCAAACGAGGAGGGGAACCGATCGGGAGAATGGTTAGTCAGGAAGTTCCTCGAAGGACGTCAATCGAAATAACGGAGGACAAAAAAGCAAGAACGCAAGTAGTATGGGTGAAGGTGAGCAAGAAAGAGGAGGATGAACACAAAGAAAACGCAGAAATGATGTGAATGGGCTTTGTGCATGTGGACAGACTGACTGAGCTTGTACACTATAGAACTACGGATGCTTTCTTGTCCCCCCACCCCACCCCACCCCACCCCACCCCACACTCACGATGCTTCCGACCGTCCTGATCCACTTTTTTTGCGCATTTGATTATTTTTGCCGAGCTCCGTTTCACTCTTTAACCGTCGTTCGTCGATCTCACGACGCTCCGTTACCTCTGTGAGTACTCTCTTATCCCAACTTCACCAAATTCATCACCCGCTTTCCCCCTTTCTCTCGTTCCTACGCTTTGCTGCAGAACCAGGTATTGCCGCCTGAAAGTCTGCTGTGCACACACCCAACCTTTTTTTCAGCTGTTTCGACACTGGAACACGCTGACTGTTTGTTGACGAGTCCCACGTTCGCAAATGTCTGCCATGTCCCATGTAAACTTTGAATTGCTCTTCTGACTGTCGCGTTCTGTCGCGTTCTGCTGTGATGATGTCACTGTATTGAAGGACAGAAAGATACCGAACAGGTACCACCATGTAGCGCTGACTAACGATTCTTGGGGTCGAGTCCCATCCATCGCCTATTGTAAATGCTAGGTGATAGTTTGGTTGAGTTCCGAAATTCATTTTAGAAATTTAGAGGTCTTTTATTCAGAGTTTTTCTCTTTCGTTTTTTGTTTTTTTGTTTTTGTTTTTTTGTTTCAGGAATACTCATTTCGTGAGCTGTATCTCAGGCTGGTGGTCCCGTCTGTGAAATTAACTACCTTTCGTCAACCCTGCCCTTGCTCCTGCAATCTCCCCCACCCCTCCCCTCCCTCCCACCTCCTACCTGCCCCCAACCCAACCCAACCAGACCCACCCACCCTTGATTCCCCGAGGGATCATTCTCCTTACCTGCGCCCTTCTTCGCTTTACAGCTCGAGTCCGTATCTCTGCTCGTGTACCCCTTGTTAATGCAAACGTACCGTAGGTCTGACTGAGCCCATGTCAACGGTGCGCACAACCAGCCAGATGGCAGATGACATGGGCTCAGAATTCTTTCCACCTACACATGTTGGTCTTGATTCTAGCAAAAGGGTGGGGGGGGGAGGGGAGGAGAGGGGAGAGGGGAAAACAGCTGGGTGCGTATTAGGTAGGAATATAGCGTGTAGAGGTGTGGAATACTCTCTCACTTGCAGTGGCGTGTTCGGCCAGTTTGTGGATTGATGGTTGTGCAATCTGGTTTGGATATGTCCAACATCTCTCCGCTTATAGACCTGCAAGTCTTTGGTTCTCTCTCCGATATCAAACAATTTTCAAGACAGGACTTTTCTTTTCCACTTTTTGGGCAGACACGGAGGGACATGCTTCTCAGCTGTTCTGTGGTTGACGTGGCAACAGGTCTCCTGTTTTCTGCTCTTGCGTCTCGCTTGTTGCACCTCCGTCGTCCCGCCTTCTCCGTAAGCCCTCCCTTTCCTTTGCCTGTCAAACCTTTTCCTTTTTAGCACACGCTGATCTTTTCCATCGGCTTCTCTGCTGTGCTGTGCTGTGCTTTGCTTTGCTTTGCTTCTTCTTGTCCCTTTCTTGCTCCTTTTCGCTCTCTTGGCTTGTCTCAGCGATCGTACATGCCTCCATGTCTCCATTCGCATCGACGCACGAGCTCCTCTCTTCGCTCTCCGACCCGCCTTGTCCCTTTCTTACCTTTCTTTTGCTTCATGGCGGCGTTGGTCATCATACCTTTCTTTTGCTTCATGGCGGCGTTGGTCATCATTTCGCCGTGTCCTTTCTGCTGTCTTCATGCTTACGGTGCTGCCAACTCTTCCTCCCTCCCTCCCTCCCTCCCTCCCTCCCTCGGCTTTCTTCCTTCCCTAATCGTACGTCTCCTCTCCTTCCTTCGCTTTTCCTGTTTTTCTTTCATTCCCCTTGTGCTCCGGTTACTCTGATCACTCTAGACAATGATACTTGATTGTATCTGACTTACTTTCAAAAGTCAATTGGGGATAATCACCAGGAGACAAGATGATAACGCAGAAGTAGTGGGCAGTGCTACTTCATTGTTGTTCGCGCATGGCGTAAACCAGCAGCACCTCTTTGCCTTTTTTTCCCTAAAAGAGTGCCTGGCGAGGTCATGCAGTTCTCACATGACAAACAAAACTGAATACTTATCCGGATGTTTGCTGATGGATGATACATGTGGGCCATTAGGAAGAATGTAGGAAGGGAAGGGAGGGGTGGGGGGGAGGTGGAGGGGGGGGCACATTGCTGTCTTACTGATTCGGACGATGGTTCTAATTTTGCTGTTCTGGCTGGTTGAGGGGGATTGCAATGTCAGCTGGATCGTAATCGCGATAACACTTTTGATGCCAGTGCCTGAGGCAGGAGGGACTGCGCTGTTGCATTGCCTGACGTAAACCGGCCAATCGCCCGCGGACGTTGCGAAGAACAGAAATGCTTAACCTAGAGGGTCGAGATCGTGAGGTGAGTGTTGTATGTGTGATGTAGGTTGCAATTTGTTTCTTCTTTTCCGTCGACGACTCTCTCGTGGATTGGATGGATGCTCGTCTCACTGCCGTTTGACCCGTCGTGGTCGTTCGCATTTGCAGTGGAGCGCTTATTTTTTATACAGCGGAAGGGGGAGAAGGGGGAGGCGTTGTCTGTTCCTTAGTTGGTGCGAGCTGCCAACTCATCAGCGGGCCCCTGTTGTGAGCCAAAGCTGCTAGGGTTGTAACCGGTGCTGAGGACGAAGAAGTTATCCTTGGCTTGTGCTTGTGTAGATGACCACAATGCATGTGGCTTCATTTCTGGGAAGGGCATTTGGCCACCTCTCTCTCTCTCTCTCTCTCTCTCTCTCTCTCTCTCTCTCTCTCTCTCCACCTACCCTGCCTAATGCAGAGCCATTCGTCGCACGCACACAGGTGGTGTTTCTTCGGAATGTAATATAATTGCGACGTTCCATTCTCTACCTCTCTCTTGGCCTCACTCTGTCCTTTCATCATTCTCTCTCTGCTGTGCTCAGTGGGGACATGTATGCGGTGGATCTGCTGAGCATTATTACATCCTTTTCGGACTTATGGACCGATTGAATGGCTATATCAGGGTTTGGTTCCTTGAATTACATAGAAAAAATATACTAAGGGATGTAGTCCGTTCGTGCTGATTTCGTTCGTCGGGGGGTTTCATTCGGACGGATGCATCACTGTGTAGAGGATTTAACGGCCATAGCATTGATTGGTAGTAGTTCTCAATGTTTTGGTTTTCCAGAATCTGAAGAAGATTCTGTTCTGGCGAGTAGTAATACTATGTATGGGGTATTGAATTGTGAGCGGCGGTCAGTGGCGTGTCGAAAGCGCGAGTGCACGGTGCTGGCGACGAACTGTGTACGCTTTCTGTCAAGGCCGAAGCTTGCGAGGGAGAACACATCTGCTGTAGCGGATGTGACGAGGGTGGAGATCAGGTGTGGTTATCGATGAGGGTGGGGTATATGATGTGAATGGTTGGATTTAGAGGACCTTTGTGCATCGGTGAACAGAGGGAATCTAAGGCAACAGTTATTGCGCGTGTTGGTACGTAAGGAGTGGGCAGTTCGGGGAGTCGAGGGTGGTCCGGGGTAACGGGGGTAGTGTTGGGGTTCCTTTGCGCATCAGTGGGAATATATATATATATTGAATTGAAGATCTTGTAAGTATTAAATGGGTGTGGAGTTGTGGCAACAGATGGGTAAAGGGAGAAGAGGAGGGGATGGGGAGGAAGGCGGGGGGGAGGGGGGAGAGTCAGGTTTGTTGCCTGGATTGACCCCCTTAATCACCGATCGGTTGGTTATAAGGGGGTATATGGGCTTTCATTCTTAGGCATGGATGACTGCCTTGGGACATCTAACTATCATTATGTGACGTTTGGTTTGTAATTTTCTATTTAATATTGCTGGTGGACGTACTACGGGTAGTGAATATCATTGTTGTCGTCGTAGTTTCTGCTGGTGCATAGCGTACACACGGATCTGGCTGAACCCTTCTGTATTAGGACGACTTCTGTCCCCGTGTGTGTGTCCATGTGTCCATGTGTGTGTCTGTGTGTGTGTGTTTTGTGTGTGTGTGTTTTTTTTTTTTTTTGTGTG